ACCAAAACGAGCCGCACAAGCATAAAACGCCCCTCTGCCGCTCCAGAGGTTGGGAAGAGAGGCAGGTACAACATGGTACAACACAAAGATCTGGTTTGGGCCGGGAATATCAAACACATTGAGACTGGTATGAGAGAGTATGTTTAGTTTAGTGTCGCCGTACACGTGCTATGCAGGATATGCAGGGATGTGGCCCCGAAGCCCTAAATTTTTATGCCCCGCGCGAGTGTGCGAGTAGAAGTTTTACAATCTGCTCTCACCCCGTAGTGCGTACCGAGAGACCTCGTCTGTCTGAGTCCGAATTGCGAGAGCGTACATCCTTATGTTATCAGTTTGCTTGACCTTTAGTTTCCGACTACGAACTGCGAGACCTCATCTGGCTAGTCCGAAAAGTGAGAGCTTATATATACCTCCCATTGGTAGTATTAGTTGACTAAGTAGAGCTTCCCAGTATTCGATCCCCGGAGATTGACATTGGATGGTTGTAATGTGGCTATTAAGTACTGCATAACTACGTATACTGGTCCGCTGGGATGTTGAAGCTTTGATTTGCAGTTTATCGTGTCTTATTCGAGGCGCTCAGGCTTTTTACCGTGTCGTTCCTTCGACGTCACTACATCTGCAGGCCGCATCGCTCTAAGGTGATAATCCAAAAAACTCTTCGGCCCGACCAGAACTTTAAAATCCTGAACGCACAGTTTCGACTCGCCGAGTCTGAACGTCCACACTCTGAAATCGCTCCATTGACTTTGATGCCCTTGCGGGGCGGAGACTGCAGCTACCACCCCGAGCATCCAAACCCGCGCCTTGCCAGCTCCAGACCCATCCAAACCCGCGGGCCCCTAGCTCCAGAGCCGCGTACCACCTATCCCGCCAGGCGCGTTCCTTTTTTTTTCTGAGGAGAGGACCCCAACAAACAGTTCCTGTTTGGGGAATAAAGAAAGACACCCGAGGGCAAGCAAACATTTCAGACTTATCGTTTCTTGCATTGAGGAACGAGCTTTGCCATGCGTCGTTCAGCACAGGCTGAGGTTTAAGTGTATGAGCCAGTTCGCAACCCCGCATACGTACAAGCAGAACTGCATCAATCGCATTCGCTTGCCAACATCTGATCGCATTTGCAATGCACAGCTGCCACGTCCCAGCCCTAGCTTGCATCCACTCTGCTCTCAAGCCACCTCCAGCAAGGCAGGGCAGGCGGTTGAAGGGGCAAGAGCACAGATCGACGGCCGAACGGTGCCAGGGAGCAGAAAACATTTGTTAATAGAAGCAGCCACTACGTACCGCGAGAAAAGTGTTGTTTGGTGCAGGGAGGGGAGGTGCTGTTCTTGTACCTTGATGCTCCGCACTTTGGGTGGTGCCAATTGGTGCGGGGCCCCATCACTTTTCCCAAGTGTGCCTATTTCTATCGTGGGCTTTAGACGGCATTGCTTTGCGTCTACTTCAATGGGTCGCTACGCAAGATGTACAGTGTTCCAAGAGTATTGCAAAACTCTGCCATCCACCCTGGCGAGTGCTTTGTGGCCTGTCAGTGAAAGGGTATTGCGCACTGTGCTGTTTTGGAGCGACGGTCTCAGGAATGTGGCGTCGCAGCATTGCTTGCATTCTCTCACTCTCCTACACTCCCCACGTCTGAACGCACAATTCACATGCACTTTGGTGGTAGAGTCTTCTGTCTTTCGGTCGCTGCGAAGGGAGTTCGCACTGCGTTCAACCGGCAAGGACTTGTGCCGTTGGCTGCACAGTGGCAGTGCACTAGCAGCAGCAACAACAGCTACAGCTACAACTAGCCGCACTAATCACGACTGACACGGATGCCCACGCTCGTGGGCTCGGCTGCCACAGACTGCAAACACAAGATATCAGTTAGCCGACTAGCCCTGCAAGACTTCTTGATGTGGTCTGTGGCATGCCCATGGCCTTCCAAGTCGACCAACAACGCCCGGTTGTGTCCAGAAGTAGGAGAAGCCACAACAGCATCCACACGGTAAGTATTCCTGCTTTAAACCCTTTGGACGGACACTCTCCGGCCGGAAGCTGCAAAGTAAGCTCATTTGGCAGAGTCAGGATGCCGCATCGACATGGCGCACGCCGGGTCTTGGAGGTGGGAATTGTCTCAGGGGCAGAAACGAAGCAGGTCTGACGACACAGCAAGCCAAGGTCACCGGCGACTTTCTGGCCAGGCCGTGGCATCCATGATTTCTTTGATGTCACGGAAGCTCGCGTAGCAGGGCTTGAGTTTAGTCTTGCGCTTAGCAGGGAAGCAGTCCAAGATTGATAGTGTCAATTTAGGGGAGCTGGGGGGAGAACGGGGGGGCGGGGTTAATTGAGCGGTTCACACGAATTTCATGCTTTGGGAAACGGGGAGGGGGGGGGGGGGCTGAATTGACATAT